ACAGCTCAAAAAAACCCCTGAAGAATCGTCGCTTGCTTTTCCATAATTATTCTCTGGTCCCAGAATCACATCTACATTGCTCCATCTGTTTTCAAAATTTTTTTTTAACAAGAATTAGGTTTCAGTTGAATACTACAACTTCTCAGCCATCTACTGAGAAGTGGAATTAAAAGGTTTTGTTTATGAACACGCTCATTGAGTCAATTGAATCAGGCCTTTAAACTGAAATTAAACGTAAATTCTTTTCACCATGATTGCAGTTAAAAGCAATTGTCTCTGCTTTTAATATTCCCTTATGCATTAGTGCCAAAGCACAGCTTGATAAAGTGACAATGTCTTATCGCTTCTGTAAGATTGAAATTAATTTAGACTAAGGTATGGCATAAATTTAGAGACAATCTATATGGGTTTGTAATAGCTATGAATAACTATTTTCATAATTGTAGATATTGTCTTTTAAGTAGATGTTTCAAAATTGATCCACAAATACAGCAAACCTTTCAGTGACCACTCCATGACGTTGGGTTGTCCGTCCTCAGCAGAACTGGCCTTCTGCTGAGGTGAAAGTGGAATTACCTTCTGGAAAATTGGAGTAAATTTTTCTCTATTTGAAAGACAACCTACTAAGATATGCACGGTGTTAGCAACAACCTGATAGGATTTTAATGCATGTGCACACATTTAGATGGGATTTACATAGAGGTGCCCTACTAGTTTGGTGGGTAGAGGCCGGGAACAGAGTTAGTGAAGGCAGAGGAAGCTGTTCTACAGGGCGGGCTGTCCCGGGGAGGTAGTGCCACCCTCTCTCCTGGTGCAGCAGAGGAGCTCCCACGCACAGCAACGGCTGGCTGGAGCCAGATTCCTTTGCCAGCCCCGTTCGTTGAGCAGTAAGAGCCAGAGCTGATACAAACCTCCCTCCTGAGGTAGCCTGTGATCCTCTGCGAGCAAGAAAACTAAGAGGAGGAGCTAGCTGGGTGGAGGAAATGGAACATGAAAGAATAATAGAGAGAATGGGCAGGGAAGGAAAGGCTTCCCCACAAAAAAAAAAAAAAAAAGATTTTTTTAAAAAAATAAGGGAATGTAGAGGATGTGATAGCAACTCCTTTCATCATGCTGTGAGAGCAGCCAAGTGTGTGCCCCTCTGCCAGCCCTTCCCAGCAAGGGACTGCAGCAGACAGAGACTGTGAAGCTGGCCAGTTGCTTATGCATTGTTATTATATATGTTGGATTTCATCCAGTGTTCTTCTGCTGCCAGTTTGAATCCAGATTTTAAATGCTCCTTTGAGTGAGGAAGCAGTTTCCCGTGTTCCCTGAGCGGCAGTTCCCTGGCTGATCCGAGCTGGCTGAGTCACAGCGCTATCCCAAGGATTTCTCTTGTACCAATATTTGCAAACTGAGGCCATAAGCAAATACACTGCCATTATTCCACCTGTCTAGGCTGGAGCATCAGGAACAGGGAGTAGGAAGGATTCAAGAACATGAACTTTGCTGAAATATCCAGATATAGAAGTGCTTCAAAATTAGGCAAATAGGGACTTTATAACGTAAATAGATGGTCTCGTTTGCCAAGCTGTAGCATTTGTCTGTTCTGTTTGTGAAATAGTTACAGTGCTGTTACTGCGATGGCTTTTACACTGCAGTCACTAGTGCTAACCGTTGGAATTGCACGTCTTGTTCAGAGTTGTGAACGAGAGTCGCCAGGTGCTGCAAGAGCCAGACTTTGCTCAGTCTCTTCTGAGGGATCCCAACACCCCCATCATCCGCAAGTCAAGAGGCACTTCAACCCAGGGCACCTCGACTCACGCCTCCTCTACCCAGCTGGCCATGATGGACGACCAAAGGAGCAAGGCAGGCAGCGTCCACAGCAAAGTCAGCAGCTACCACGGCAGCCTGCACCGATCGCGCGACGGCCGGTACGCCGCTTCTCTTTAAAATCCTCTGGCAACTGGGACGAGCCTCCCCTAGCCGGCCCTGCGGCCATCGCGTCGCTAAAACTGGAAGTTCTGCTCGCATTTGCTTTCTCTGATTGCACCTCCTCTCCCTGTTAGTGTCTGGATTGGGAAGAGAAAAACTACCATGATATTGTCAGAGTCTAGGCTTCATGAATTTCACGGCGGGAATGTGTTCAGCCCTGGGTTTCCTGCAAAGGCAGAGATCTGTGTTACATCATCTAAAGCGCTCGGGAAAGCAGATCTGGCCTGACGTCGGCTTGGTATTTTTGCGGCTGCTCTTGTTGTGTGTAAATTTATTTTGTTTCTGTAAATAGTCCTAGCCCTGCTGAAGTAAACAATAATAAAAGTTGCCCACTCTACCTTGAGGTGTAGTTAAGGTTTAGAGCGTAATTTATCATCAAGTATTTTACTCACCTAATTATCAATACTATACATAGCAGTGTAGTAAGAACCAAGCCGCGTAAGGAGTTGAAACAATTTGCCTGGGGCTGTGTGAGCTGAATGAGTGAGCTAAACAGAGAAGGACTTTTTTTCACAAAAGCCGAGGGTTCGTGTGCCCGTGTGTGCACATGCCCCGGGATTTATTTACATTCTTCCGTGCCTGCAGACCTAACAGCAGTAATACTTGTCCTCTATTTTTATAAACCAGGTACACTCCCTGCAGCTACAGAGGCGTAGAAGAAAGACTACCTCACGGCAGCATGTCACGACTGACTGATCACTCCAGGCACAGCAGTTCTCATCGGCTTAACGACCAGTCGCGCCACAGCAGCGTCAGGGATCTCAGCAGCAACCCGCTGACGCACATCACGCACGGGACCAGCATGAACCGCGTTATCGAAGAGGACGGCACCAGCGCTTGAGCCGCCCGGCTCGGGAAGGAGTAGTCGAGGTGGTTGCCCACGGTCCCGCCCTCGGTGATGGGATGAGGCGCGGTATTGTCACGCCTCTCCTCGGGCGCTGAGTTTGGGCATCGGGAAGCCGCGGTTGGCTTCTTCGTGTTGAAGCCAGCGTTTCTTGTACTGGCATCAGAGCTAGAGTGCTCAGCAGTCTCGAATTCTTGAGTAAAAAGCTGGTTGCCTCCTTTGGACCTACCTGTAGGTAATTATTTATTCGATAACTGTAACTCATCACGCACCATCGCTGAATTTCTTTGTGGAAAAAAAATCTGCCCCCCCCCCCCTCCCTCCGACGGCTCGGCGTGTCGGTAGGTGTTGCCCTTGAAAACTCGCTGGTGGGGTCACGCTGAGCTTTGTTCTTATAAGGCGTAACGGAACTCTTGAATATTGAAGGAATTCCTCCGCGCACCTTGCTGGTTAGATAACAGGTACTTGGTTTTCATCAAGCGCCGGGGGAAGGGGACGCGTGTCAAAAGCTGTATAAAGGACATCGGCGCGACTCGGCGGGCGTTTGTAATGGTCACACTGGAAACGCAACACGGGAGTGAGCGTTGTGGAGAAGGAAAGGAAAAAGGAAAGGAAACTCTGCCGGTGGTCACCAGCTCTTAGCAGAGCTGGGCAGGCTCCGTTGTTGGGGTGGGGAGGGAGGGCGGGGGGAAGAGAGAGGCAGGGAAGAGTGATTTTTGTATAACTTGTATTGTCCTGGCTTTTTTACAAAAGACTATTTAAATTTTCTACTTGTTTACAATTTATGTAGGAAGAGATCAATTTTAAAGCCGGTTATCTAGATAATATTCAGCCACTTATTTTTTAGATTAATGTACAGAAGCTTGAGATTGCCTGTTCCTGATCTATTTAAAAAATAATAATAGTAGAAAACCTGAACTTGTTGCCCAAACTGGAACGTACATCCTTTTCCTCACAAACAGAACAGAATCTGTTTACAAACCCCCTAACCAGGGTGAGGAAGGCTCAGGCCAAAACGGACGGGAGGGGTTTAATCAGGGATGGCCCGCCTTCCTTGCGATATCGCGGCTGCTTTTGGCGAGGATTCTCCTTGCCCTGAGCAAGAATTTAGAAATGAGCGGGAGAAATCCAGGCTCCTTCCCAACCGGGGAGCTTGCCTTTGTGATCCACTTCTTCCGGCGGTTATTTTCTTGTCGTTCCCTACTACAGATTCACGGCAGAGGAGTCTCAGTTTGGGCTTTTGTTTTGTGTGTAAATAATCTGTTGGGGTACAGCGAGTCTTTGTGGACTCTGCAGCCAAAAGCCAAGGCACGTCTTGGGTGGTGCAGTCGATCTTCTGCAGCATCTACTGTAAGATTCATGCAGCGTGAGGAAACACTGATCGCATTTAAACCTACCTCAGTAATTACTACAGATCATTGCTGGGAAATGAATACTTATTTTTTTCATCGTCCTTACATAATTCCCTTTTTGACCTGTTCGAGGCGTGTTGAAAAGCCTTTGCACACGCTTAGATGGCACAACCTCAAGGGCAGGAGTAGGGCAACAACCCGGGGTGCGTACTTCAGAGGCTTTTCCGAGCAGCAGAAACGGAGCCGCGCTACAATTACTCATTTTAATTGAAGCTGCTGACACAACAGCAAAGCACGTAACCGTGCGCTCCTTGAAATCAAAAGTTGCCCTGGGAGTCACCGTGTCTTAGAAATATATTTACTGTAAATTCTCTTTCTTGCTTCCACCAGGCTTTTGCTCCAAAGGAGAAGCACAAACCAAACCCAGCGTGGAATAACAAAGCTTAGCAACAACTCCGCGCTCTCTTTATTGTAAATCCAGGGAGGGAGGTTGCGGCCCCGACCGCCCGGGGGCAGAGCAGACTCTCTGCTCCGGCGTTTGCCGAGCGAGCGGCCGCGGGGGACGGCCCCGGGGAGAGCTGTCCAGATATGCTGGATCACCTCTTCCAAAGCAGCTGGGTACGAAAAGCCTTCTGAGCGACTTAATCTGGCGAAACTACAATTCCCTGGACATCACAAAGGTGGAGCCCTGTTTTATTTTCAAATTCACCTTCTACTGACTCACTGCTTCAAAGGGACGATAGTTTTAGGAATCTGGATCTGCAAAAGGAGCCAGGTAGCTGAGTTTTCCTAACTGAACTAAATGAGCTCAAGTGTTTATCTTGATCTTCTTGGCTCTATTTCCAGTACTTTTTTTTTTTTTTTTTTCCTATTAATTATAGCAATGCTTTGACTTGTTTAGAGTCAGGGAGGGGAATGATGATGGAGGTTTGAAATATATCCTGCTTGAAATGTTGTTAATAGGTGAGGTTTAGTCCCCCTATTGTTTCCAGATGGGAATATCGAAGCTGTTCCTTGCTCATGTATCCTGTAGGCGAGGGACAGGCTCCTGTCACCCCAAAGAGGTGATTAAAATGTCAAACGCGAGTTCTGGCTGGGTTTTATACCCCCCCTCCCCCCGTAATCCCAACCCCTCCCTTTTATCTCCAGCACCTGAGTTCGCATGCCGCTCTGGTCCTGCAGAGCGTTCCTTCCCGGGATTTCACAGCCCTTTACCAGTGACTCTTGCAGGTTTCACGGGTAAGATTCCCCAGCTGGGACGCTCGCAGGGCTTCAGCTCCCAACTCATCGTGCCTGGGGGCTCTGGAGCGCGTCCGAGGTCGGTCGCAGCCCAGCCGCCGTCTCCGGCGCCCGGTTTTTGGGGGGTCTTTCCCCTCTGGCACCCCCCCCGTTAACCAGCGGGGGCTCCGGCCTGGCCGCCTGCTTGCTGGGACCGCTGCCAATGTTTTCAATTCCCCCGGGGCTCAAACCCCGGCGGCAGTTTTACCGTGGCTGAAACCCCTCCGGTTGCTTTGGGCTTGGGCTGACCTAACGCACGTGTAGATGAGCACACGTTCCTCGGGGTTTTCCGCAGCGCCTCGTCCCTCCCCAGCAGCCGCACGCTGCTGAAAAGCCTGACCCTCTCTCCCTCCAAGCAGGCAGAGAAGTTGGACAGAGCCCGGTTTCCCCAGCTCGTCCCAACGGCAGGTTAATGTCTCTCCATCCTACACAGACGACGAGGTGAAGCCCCGAAACACCGCTTTGCGAGATCGCGGTATCAAAGCTCCCCATAAAACCCGCGGCTTCTTGTTCCCAGTATTCCCAGGGAGCTGAACCTCCTGTTTTATCCCATCACGAACACCTTGGCGTGTTGTTCTGTCTCAGAGGCGAGAGCTTCACCGGCCCGGCCCGGCAGAGCAGGGGGTGGCTGGGGGCTTGGCCCCATCGCCGCTGACAACAGATTCCCCCGAGCCTGGTGACGTTCCTCCTCTCTTTAATCCCTTCGGAGCTCTCGCCGTTCGTTGAAATCAGAGATTTCAATCAGAGATGCGGCCGCGTTGCTTGGAAAAGGCTGTGTCAGGACCACGCGCAGCCGCCCTCCCATGGGATCGGTAGCGCTCGCCTCGAAGCGCAAAAAAACCCAGCAGCGGCAAAGAGCCGCATTTAGTTGTAAATTTCTTTGTCCGCTCTCAAGCGCTCTCCCTCCTCTTAGTGCTTAGACCGAAATTTTGCAACGGAAGTTTGAGCGATGAGCTGTACCCGGGGTCGGGGCTGAGCACGGGGCTGCGCTGGGCGGCTCCAGCCGAAATCCAGCCGCGGCCGAATCCAAACCCGGCCTCCAGCAAGGAGCGGAGGGAAAACCCTCGGCAAGAGCCCGGGAGGCTGCGGGAAGAGCCTGTGGAGTCAGAGCCAACCCTTCGGGCGACGCCCGCCCTTCCCGGGGAGCCGAATGTGAAATTTCACCCCAATCCCAAACGCGCGGCGTTTGTAGCCGGGTGGGGAGTTTTGGTCACAGGAAGCGAGGAGGTTTTCCTGCTGTTTTTCGGTGCTCTGGGGAACGCGGGGCACGTAACGGCGCTGCCGCCTCTTCCAGCGCTTTCTCTCACCACGCTCGTGTTCGTGTTGTAATTTCATCCGGTTCTGAACGAGGGAGGAAGCAGCTTTTCGTGTTCGTGAGCCCTGTACGTAGCGGGTGCACGTGGCCGTTAGCATGGGGTAGTACCCGGCCGTAGCTGACTTGACTTGCACTCAGCTCTTGGTAGACTTGTTTACAGTAGTCCAGTGTCGGTTTTGTAACGTTTAATTTTAGCACTTTAACTGTGAGTGTACAAACTGATGATATTGTAGTAGGTGTACATTTTCATTTTAGACCTTTAAAAGTTTTTAATAAAACGATGGAAAAATCCTCGTCCCTTTGTCAACAGGCTTTTTCCGATGCGCGTAACGACACCCCACCTCTCCTTTAAAAACCCAGTTCAGAGGCAGCTAAAATTTAAATATTAAATTTTATCCCTGGCTAGTGGCTCTCTGAAGGTGAAGAAAGACTTTCTAGACTTAATCTTTCCCCAACATCTGCGCTCGTGGACGCCGGGCACCCTTCCAGCAAACACAGAGCTCTCCGCAGACTTCGGGCCCTGGTTTGTTCCACCCTTTCCAGGCTCCAGACCACTCAAACCACCGGCATTTCGTGAGCAGAGAGACAAGCGAGCTGACGGACGGCGGCCGGGTTTGGGAGCAGCAATCCTACGGGTGTCTGGGCCTTTGTGCTGGGTTTTTTATTGCTGAATCAAACCAGAAAACGGGATGATTTTAGTTTTTTTGGGTTGGTTTTTTTTTGTTTTTTTTTTTTTTTGAAGTAGCTGTCTGGCATACAGGCGGATACGGGGTTATTTCAGTTTGGGAAGCCGTACGCTCCCAGCCTCGCGTGGCTGGTGATAAAATAACTCATTTTAATAATCACAGACGGCGCTGGTTTAGCACACGGTGCTGGTTTGGGTCTCGTTAAGGTCAATAACTCAGTTCAGGGATGAAACTTCAGGAGCTGCTGGTTAAGACACACGTCCTGCCGGGCCCCCTGGAGATGTGGAAGCAGCCGGTGCGTGCACGCAGCCCTGGGCAGAGCGGCTCCATCCCAAAACGTCGGCTTCCCCGGGGATGCTGCGACAGCAGCACGCGAAGAGCCGCTCGGGGCGGGAGCGGTCGGCTACGGGAAACTTTCTGGGGGCAAACCCAAGGTGGGGCTGACAATATCCCTTCTCCTCCGCCTCCCCGGGATTTAAGCTGTTGCTGTTGTGGCTTGTGAGCGTGCCGGCTCGGGAGTCGAGCGGCTGAAGAAATGATCCGCCTCGGCCTCTCGCTGCAGCTAAAACCGGCGGGGAGGAGGAATCGGAGCTCAGGGATGAGGAATCGGAGCTCACGTCGGGGAGGAGGAATCAGACGTCGCGGAGGGGTTGGGGAGGAGATCGGAGCCACCCGGAGCGCGCGGAGCCCTCAGCATGCGCAGAAAAAGCAAAGTTTAAAGATGGTTTTAATGACCTGAAGGTGAGGAAGACCGGACGAGCGTGAAATAAGAGGAAGCAGCTGGGAGAGGGGCCGCGGCCAGAGCTGGGGGAGCAGCAGCCCAGAGTCCCGTCCCTCCCCAGCGAATTGGAGTCGCTGTCACGTTCCCGATGCACCCGAACCCGCCGGCTGCTGTGCCGGGTCCAGCTTTGCCCCCCAGCCCCGCCGACTCGTGCCCTCATTGCCATTTCTTCCCCCGTTTGAAGGCAGAAGAGCATCTGGCCATTGCGCAAATCCTAAAGAACTGAAAAATCTCCAAGAGATCCTTGAAAACAAAAGACTGAAACAAAATAAGTGGAAATAGAAGGATCTTGTAAATCAAAGTCATTTTCTGTAGGCGTTATCGCCAGCCCAGTGCCGCTCCGGGACAAAGCCACGGACCCTCGGGCGCGGCCGTGTGCTGGGCTCCACGTTTCAAACGTGCTTTCCTACCGGTCCGACTGGTTTTTATGATAATACTCCAAGCGCGTTTGATTGATATTCAGTCTCCGGGTTTCGGTGCCTGCGCGCGTTCACCGCCCGTTCCCCACACCCACGTCCCGCTCCCGCCGTCCCGCCGGCGTCTCCTGCTGCCCCGCTCTCCCACGGGGCCACCGAGGAGCTGGGCTCGGCGTGGGGAAAGCGCCATCTCCCGAGGAGGGGAGGGGGCTGCGCGGATGCCCGGCGAATTGGAGGCATCGCGGCACCTGAAAGGGTGGGAAAGCCGGAGGAGGACGGATCTGCGGTGCCAGGTGGTTGCCAGCCTCGTCCCAAACCGCTGTAATACATCAGCCATCACGTTTTAATACAGTCGGTAACGTTTGAAGTATTTGAAATATAATATGTAAATATATAACACCATTAAAATTAGATTTCAAAATATATCAAATGTAATCAATATGGCTGAAAAATAATCCCATCACACAGACCTATATACCCAACATCTGCCCTGCGCGAGGCACAGAGGTTTAATTCTGCATTTCTGGCTCCCAGAATTAGGTTGATTCCTCTTCCCCCCCCCCCCCCCCCCATCACCTTACTCTTGGCTTTCTGATTTTTTTAGAGTTTGGGGTTTGGTTCCTGTATCATCCTTTGGGGGTTATGTTGGTTTAATCAGAAAAATGACAATGGTGTCACCCTCCTCAGCTGCCAGGGCGGGGGCTACAGGTGCAGGTGAGAAAAGCAGCCGATGTATTTTTTTAATTTCACATCAATCCGCACAAGCAACACGAGGACGAGGAGAGGGGGGGGATGCTGGCCAGGGTCTGTCAGTCTGCTTGCGGCTTTGCAGCCCTGTCGAAAATAGGGATTTGAATACATTTTTGGCTCTCAAAGCTTCAGGTATTGACCTTATTTCTTACTCTTTTGTTTGGGAATCTACAAAACATCCTTTCTTTTCTTTTAAATCCATCTCGTTTGGCATGGACAGCCGCTGCTTCTCATGTTTGTTGGCCCAGCGCTGGTGCGGAGGGTTCCTGCTTTTGGGAGAACGTGCTGAAAAAAATCCCTTAAGGCCCCGAATTGCAACATCACCCAGCTACAAATCCCACCTGGAATCTGTCAGAAGCGATGAGCCCCGACATACCTCCGCCGAGCTCCCGCGACGCCTTCAAAGCTCTCTGATCTCCTCCGTGGAAACGCTGCCGTCAGATAAGGCTCAGCCCCTGCCAGAAGACATGAAACATCTGCTTGGCTGCAGAAAGTGGGATTAGACAAAAGCTCACCTCGCTCCTGATTTTTAATTTTGGGGTGTGGGGGGGAGCTGGCTCCTCGTGCCGGTTCTCCCTTGCGTGGTGGCTTTGGGGCCTTCATGGGTCCCCGAACCCCGAGGACGAGGTGCTGCCAAGTGCCTGGGGACGGTGGCACCGACGCACGGAGGGAGTGGGGCTGGCGATGCGCCGGCTTGTGGAAAAGCAATAAAATCTGGGACTGGCCAAGTATTTGGACCGCATCAAAAACAAGCAGCCACCTTTATATTTCAAATTTGCTTTTTGCCACTTGAAAAGTTGCTCCCTAAATGCAGATCTGAAGCACTTGAGTGTCCAGAAAAGCTCCCGGAGCTCCCTTGGGGGACCTGAACTTGGCAGCAGCCCGTCGAAGCGTGATCCCGCAGCGCTGCTGGGGGCAGCCCAGGGGGCGAAGGGTTAACGCTGGTCTTTGGGTGCCTTTAACTTTAAAAATCCCCGAATCCTGCCCAAACCTCGTTAGTCCAACACTAACTGGAGTGATGGCTTTGCCGCCGCCACGAGAAATTCCCAGCCCAAGGAGGTGCTGAGCTCGGCTGCCGGTAGCAGGTGCTGGGTCACCCCCAGCCCCCCCCAAAATCCCCGACCCCCCAAGTCACTCACTGGGAGGGACTCTCCCGACCCGTCCCCGGGGTCATTCCTCCCTCTGGCTACCAGGGAGGGATTTTGATCGGTCTTTTCGGTCTTTTCGCAGCGGCGGGAAGGGCAGCAGCAAATCTGCAGCCCCGGGGGGGGTGGGGGGATGGGGGGGTGATGGGGTGCGGGGCCCCCCCGTCCCACACCCCGGGGACACTCAGCCGGGCTGGGAGGTGCCGCGGGCCGCGGGGTCAGGGACGTGGGGATAAACCAGGCGGGGGAAAACACTGAGCAGCTGCTGCTGGAAAAGCCGGGACCAGCAGGACTGAAACTGTGGAGTTTTTGCTTAAAGCCCAGGAGAGTGGAAATATTTGCCCCCGCTCCGTGGTCGGTTTCCCCAAGGACAAACCGTCCTGAAAGGCCTTTCCTCCTCCCTGGGACAGCGGGGAGTTGGGAGTCTCGTGGGAGAGCTTTGGGAGCAACCTGGGTGCAGGGAGGGTGTTTGGCTGTGCGGGGAGGGAGGGATGCTCCCAGGGTCGGAGCGATGTTTGTGAGGAGGGAGGGATGTTCATGGGGGAGGGAGGAATATTTGTGGGGAGGAACTGATGCTCATGGAGATAGAGGGATGCTCAGGGGGGATGAAGGGATGCTCAGGAGAGAGGGATGCTTGCGGGAAGAAATGGATGCTCACAGGGAGGGAGGGATGTTCGTGGGGAGGGAGGGACGCTCCCAGAGACGGGGGAATTCTCCTGGGGGGGAGGGCTGCTCACGGCAGGGAGGGTGGGCGCCTGGGAGAGCTTGAGATCTCGCCTGCTTGGAGCGAAGACAAGGAGCTGGGGCTTGGCAAAAGCAAGGTTGAGCGGTGTGAACGCCTCTGCAGGAGCAAAGCGGGAAGGGGCCGGAGGGGGGTGGGAATGTCACGGGAGAAGCCGCGATGTTAATCCTGCGCGAGGTCCTGAGCCCCGCCGATGTCCCACACAGTCCCGCGGGGCGGGACCCGCCCAAACCCCAGGGCAGAAACCCCCTCCTCACCCTGGAAAAGGAAAAACCCCGGGGAAACGCGCGGTCTCATCCTGGTGAGGCTGAGCACCAGCCCGGCCATCGCCGTTGGGCTTGGGGAGCCCACGGGGAAACCTTCGGGGCCAGGAGGGCTGACGGGAATCACCCCCCCCCCCCCCCAAAAAAAAAAAAAAAAAGCAGCATCCCCAGAGGCCAGCTGGGATTTTTAATGCAATAGTGCCACCCCGTGCGCTGTGCCAGCCCCCGGCGCCCGGCTGCGGTGACAAGTGGCTCCGGTGGCCCAAGTGGCTGGGACATAGGAGGGTGACATAGGACGGGGTCCAGTGCCCCAGTGCCACTGGTGATCAAAACACCCGGGGGTGGGCGACACGGGCCTGGGCAGCGGGGAAGGGGCGACGGCCACGGCCCCCCGGGAATCCCTCAATCCCATTGCCGTTGGGATCCTGCAGATGCCAGAATTGTCGGTGGTTTGTCAGGCCACGACGGAAGCTGGAGAAACACGAAATATGCAGAAATCACACCAAACTCTGTGCTTTCCTGAGCTGCAAAAGGGAGTTTTATGCTGGTTTCTGCTTTTCTCTACCTTTGCCGGTGGCCCGCACCGGTGAGGGGCTCCCGGACCACGCAGTCCCCTCCCCTGCTCCGCGTCCTGCCCTGGAGGGAGATTTGGTGGGGGAGGGACATGGGAATATCCCTTCTCCAACCCTGCGAGGGGTGTCCCGTGTCCCCAGCCCTCTCCCAAGCCCCAGCAAGGACCCGCAACACCCTGGAGAAACCTCATGGGGGATGGTTGGGATTATTTAGTTGTCACATTATATTTACATGGCCTATAGGAGGAGGGGGGGGAGCAGTTATTTTGTGCACGTATAGAATGATGTTTAGGGAAGCGGCGATGCAGCCTGAAATCCCACTGCCAGGCGAGCTACAGCAGCGAGGACAGACGGGTGACGGGTGTCCCCCTGACACCCCAGGCACCCAAGGGTGCCTCTGGGTGCAGGAGGAGGGAGCGGATCAATGTCCTCAGTTTCAGCTCCCCAAAATTTCTTGCCACAGGGGATTTCAACCCACCATGAAAACCCAGCTCCCTCCGTACCCCCGCATCCCAGAGACTGTTTCAGGGCATCAAACAGGGAGAAGCAGCTTTCAGGACAGGACCCCGCTGCCCCTGAGCATTTTTAGGGTCAGGCTTTGCTATTTTAGTCCCTCCCCAAGCGTGCCCACACATAAGAGCACACGGGCAAATACATGAGCGCCCCATATGGTCCCATCATGGCTGGTGGGAGGGCACCCCTCCTCCTATAAGGTCCATATGGGATCACCGTGCCCCTGAGCCGGGTGGAGGGATTTGTTGGACACGCAGGTGGGAGGAAGGAGACACCCCCCACACCCCGGGCTGTGCAAATAAATAGAGCAGTGTTTGCACGCTGCCGAATAACAGCGAGGGGAGACGGTTTTGCAGCATGATGCACGCCCCCAGCGAGGCTGGAGACGCGGCCGCCCCGCTCCGCTCGGCTCAAAAGGGTTGATCCCCCAGGAATAATAGACGTAAGCCTCTTAGCCAGCCGTGCTGTCAGTGCCCCTTGCTGATGAACTGATTAAATTCGAATGGAAAAGATTAAACTCACCCCCCTCCGGGGTCCCCGGCTCCTCGCGGTGGAGAAGAGATGCTCCTTGGTGGGCTCAGTGGCTTCGCTCTGCCCTGTCCGTCTGTCTGTCGCGGGTCTGTCCAGACCTGGGTGCTCTGTAGCCAGGAGGGACGTTTCGAGCCTTCGTAATCTCCGCAAATCCCCTCCCTGCACTGCACCAGGAGGTCCCGGCAGCAACCGGCCCCTTTGAAGGCAGCGGATTATCTGGGGCTGGAGGAAACGGTGCCAGAAAAATCAGTCACGGGCAAAATTTCCCAAAAGGGCCCCCCCGCCCCAGACCTCGGTCAGCCCCACGGGACAGCCCCAATGTTTTACTTCATTTAAACAGTTCTGCGGAACAGCCGTCACCGCTCCAGGCGCGAGAGTTGTCAGACATGGCATGTCATAGCAACAAAACATGAGAGTACCTTGGATTTGAGAAATTTCTGCAACACACACACACCCACACACACCACACACACACTCTGCCCCCCCCGGAATTTGGCCAAGTGCTGCTTGGGAAGGGGACCCCAATCTCCCCAGAGTCACATCCCTGTTCCTGGGAAGCACCGGGAGCGTGTGGTGTGATGTGAACAGAGCTGCCGGGATGAGGAATTTGTTTGGTGGTTTTTTTTGTTTTGTTTTGTGTTGTTTTTAAAAAAAAGAGGCTTTTTGAGTTGGAGCGAGCTACTGGCGGGATGCAAAATGCTGTTCCACATCTGCAGCAGCTGCAGGGTGGCCGGGGGAAGGTCGGTCCCACTTGGGAGGCGGCTCTTGACATGGTAAAGAAGAGAAATCGAACCAGAGCTTGAGCTGTGCTCACACCTGCTTGCTCATGGCACTGGTTTTCCACTGGTTCCTCCGGTGATTCTCCTCCATCATCACTGGTGGCTCTGGCTCAGGTCTTGTCCGTGATCTGCAGTTGCTTCTGCTGTCAGAAAAAAAAACAAAACAAAACAACAAAACAAATCAGGAATTGGATTAGAGGAGCCCACTGCAAACTGGGAATGCGGATCAAAGCATGCGGGGTGTCCCATTGAGCCCCTCGCAGAGCGGGATGTGGGGGTTTAACCCCATTTTTGGGGTGATCCCACCCTGGCTGGGTGTAGGGTCCCGCTCTGCTGTGGCGGTCGCCCCGTCGGGATCGTTTTTCTTCAGGGTTTTCCTGGATTTTTGGTCGGCCTTTGGGTAGGATCCCACTGCCGGGCTCTGCAGAGGCAGCGGTGACCTGGGGAGGTGCTGTCACCTGCCAGCCACCACATCTCGTTAATATTTAGTGGCTCCTTCCACAGAGCTGCATTAATTAACCCACCTGAGCTGCATAATTAACACACCTGAGCTGCATTAATTACCTGTCCAAGCGGCCCTGGCAGAGATGCCTGCGGGGAAAAGTGGGGCAGAAAGAGTCACCCCCCAGCTCCACATCCCTCCTGCAACCCCCACGGGGTACGTATAGCGGATCTATACATTTCTATAGGTGTGCATTATCCAGCGTGTGTGCCTGGTGCATCAGCTCTTGCAACAAGGGGAATTATCTGAACCAGCCGCGACCCGCACCCCAAAAGCTGCTGTGCCCCAACATCTGCCTCCTCCTCTCCAAACCACTGCGTCCCACATCATTTATTTTCTCAGAGGTGTTTTGGGGGGTGGTTTTGGGGAGTGGTTTTGGGGTGGTTTTGGGGGGTGGTTTTGAGGTGGTTTGGGGGGTGGTTTTGAGGTGGTTTGGGGTGTGGTTTTGGGGTGCTTCCTGGGAACGGGCAGATTTGGGGTGCGGGGTGGGAACGGGCAGAGATTTGGGGTGCTGTGAAAAGAAGCAGCAGCTTGGGGCGAGCCTCGGCCGCTGCCTGTGAGAAACTTCCCCCCCCCCCCCCCCCAATTCCTCCCAGGGTGTTAGAGCCCATCAGGGGGGTCAGACCCAGGCGGAGATTGTTGGGGGGCGCATATAGGTTAACGTATATAGATCCCTCTATCTACCTGTGCCCCCACGACCCGAGAGCCCCCCCCGCCCCCGTCCCCTTCCCACGCGAGGGGACCCCACGGAGGAGCTGCCACCAGAGGGCACCGCGCCCCCACTTTTGGGTCCCGCTTCCCACAATGCAGCGAGCCGGGCCGGGGGCTCCGCGCCGCTCCGCGCACGCCGGGCTGCGGCCGCAGGGCGGGCGCGCAGCACCGCGGAGCACCGCGCAGCCCCCGCCGCCAGGTAAGCGCTGCCCCCCCCCCGGCCTCGGGGCGACCTCGGCTACTTTGGGAGGGGGGATTTTATTTATTTATTTGTATTTTATGTTTTTTTTTTTTTTTATGGTAAATTTTTTTATTTATTTATTGCGTTTTATGTTATTTAATTTTATTTATTTTATTTCAGCTTTTTAATTATATTTTATTGTAATTATTTTAATTATTTTATATTTTTACCCATGTACCTTTTCATTACTTGAATGTTTACAACTATCGTACTATTTACCTCGATTTGATTTATTTTATTTCTTTAAAATGCCTTTATTTCTTTAATTTCTTTTACTTTCTAATCCCTCCTCCCAGCACAGGAGGGGGGGCCCGGGCAGCACCATCCTCTCCCAGCATGGGTCCCGCCTTGTTGGGAGCCATCACCCCCCTTTTCCCTTCCCCATCCCGGGCTGGGGGTGGCCCCGGAGCGGGACGGGCGAGGATTTTTGGTGCTTGCAGGGGGGCAGCGTCGGGGTGAGCCCCGATTGGGTCGGGGGGAGATTGGATTTTCACCCAGACCCCCCTAAACTTAAGGGAAACTTGTCCCTGTGGCTCCGGGGTGGCAGTGGCTCGTCTCCAGCTCCTCGGGGATGGTGCAACAGAAATTAGGTTTAATGCGAAAGCAGCTGTTTAAATCACGGGGCGGGGGCTCCTCTTCCTCGGGTGAAAGTTGCTTTTGAGTTTGGCAGTTGGGGTCATGGGGGACGCAAGGAAAATTGACCGCTTTGAAAGGGCTTTTGAGCCTCAAGGAGAAATCCCAGCCAGGAGGGAGAGCCTGGGATGGCCGGAGAGGAGGTGAGTGACCCCCGAAAGCAGAGGGATGGCTTTGGATTCCCTGTAGATTTTGGGAGCGCCGGTGTGCCGGCGCTGCTGGTTTAGTGGGACCTCCGCATCGTTTGGCTGCGTTAACTCCTTGTCGTGGGATGAGGAGAGCGTGGGGGGGGGAGCAGAAGGGTTTGGAGAAGTCATGTTACCCCGGTCTCTCTGCCTTGCTCAGTTCCCCCTTCGTGTGGCAGAGCTGGAGGTGCTCGAGACTCCCCAGCTCCCTTAGATCATGTTTGGGGTCGGTTCGTTGGTTAAAAACCTCAGTTTTGCACAAAAGCCCCCAGCCAGAGCAGCATTAAAGAAATTTTTCTGTGCCAGGGAGGGAAGTTGGACCCGGGCTAAAGAAAATAAACTTGTATTTCATCATGCTGGGGTTGGGTTTCTTTGTTTTTCACTCTGCTCTGGGCAGTCTGGGCTCCCTACGGCCGTAAATGTTTCCATGTCCAACCTTCACCTTCAAGTGAGTCTCAGTGGCTGAGAAAAAAAAAAACAAAACAAAACCCAAACTTCTGCTCCTTTCTTCAAACGTTGCTCCCTGTGAAGGCTGCTCTGTCCTCTGCTTCCCGCGTGCTCTTCCTTCAGGTGTTTCTCCTCTCGGTTGCTGCGGGGAGGGGTTTTGCAGGGTTTCTTCACCAGCCCCATCCCCACGAAACAGCTCAGGACCAGGCTGAGAGATGCTGCAGACGTGGAAAGCCTGAGCACGGCTGGACCTGGCAGCGGCTGCGCGTCAGTGGGAGCCATGCGCTCTGCCGAGGGATGCGTGGCTTGTGCTGCTCAGCTCAGGAGGTAAAGGATGCTGTAAATCAGGGAAGCCAGTGTTATTTTTGTGCCTGAAAGGGGTGTTAGGAAAAAAAAAAAAAAACAAAACCAACAACAACAACAACACAACAACAAAAAAAGCCCTGAGACATTTTTTTCTCCCCATCCCCACTGCTGCAGACCTGGCCGGGTTCAGGAGCTGGAGCCCAGATGTGACCCAGTGAGCACGGGAATGTGCCTGGCCAGTGCAGAACTGAGGGGCAAGGGGGCTCCAGGGCTGGAGGCGCCGGTACACGTCACTTATATGGGGCTGTAAATGTTCCCAATTGCCAGCACAGAAACCTCGAGCGAGAGCTTTCTCCTTGTTGGAAGAGCCTGCACGGTCCCATTGACGCAGGAGGGGCACCGTGTGCATGCGGGAGCTCGGGACGTGGCAGGGAGATGTGGTGCTGTGCCATCCAGGGGGATGGCAAAGACCAGGGATGCTGGGGAAAGTGGGGTACTAGTGGTGAAAAAAAAAAAAACAACCCCAAAAAAACAAACAAAAAAAAAACCCCAACCAACCAACCAAAAAGATCAAAGTTAAATGATGTGTCGTACCCTGATGTGCTCTTCCAAAATAAATGGGACAGGACTGGAGCCCACTGACCCCGTAGCAATGAGCTGGGGGGAGCCTGTGGCTTCTTTGTTGCAGCGATGTCAGTACAGAATCTATGGCTGAGACTTCAAATCTGTGTAATTCGTTAAATGTATCTCATCGTCTTACAAGAAAGCAGATGAAACGTAGGTGCCAGCATCTAAAGCGCATGCAAAATGCTGTTACATCAGGAGAGAGGGGAGATTTTTACACACTGCGCTGGTTCCCATCCATTAGTCATAATATTTCCAGCACGCAGAGGTTTGTTTTTTTTTTTACTGGGTGTGCACTTGCATTTCCATATAAATGCATGCATGGGAAGCAAAATTGGAGGTGACACAAGGAAACGGAGAAACCTGGGTGGATTTTTGCCCAGCAGGACCCTCTGCTGTCTGAGAGGGACCACTGGCTTCAGTCCTGATTTCCCAGCATTTGTCACTGGTGTAGGTGATGCTTTCTTTTCTCCGATGTGTTTTTGATTTCATTATACCAGTCTCCATGCTTTGCTGGGAGGGAAGATGGAAATGTAATCATCCCCGTTGAAAAGTTTGACATTTCATAGCAGATAAAGCCAAATGTAGACAGTTGCTTTGATTTGGCTCTTTTTTGCTGAGTTTAAGGGGAGACAGGAGGGGATTTAGGTTGGAGATGGAGAGGAGGTGGCACATATGCCCCTCGTGTCACGGTGACATCCAGCTCTGGTTTTTTTTAGGAGAAATACATCTGTGGGAACCGGCTCTTTCTGACTTTACTCCTGCCCAGAAACTTGAATCAATTGTATCCATCCAAAATCTAAAGGTGAGGGAACCTCTGCTCCCGTGTCACCAACATCAATTTTTGTAGCAGCTGTGATTTCATCACTGGGGATCCCGAAAAGGTTTCTGTGGTTGTTGGATGAGTTGGAATTGAAGGTTCATGGTTGCTTCCTTAATCTTTTCTATTTCTCCGGTCTCCCTTGGGAAGGAGAAAAGGGCTTCCAGCCCTGTGCCAGTATTTTGTCTTTATTTCATCCATGGTTGTTCTCTGGTCATCAGACAGAAGGTTCTATGACATGTGCTACCTCATAGCAGGACCAGAATGGGATCCCGGTGGCCTTTTGGATGGGAGAGGAGAGGTGGCCACTGGTGG